TCAATAATCGCAACTTTTCGGCCCAATCCGTCAGACTTCGGATCAGGTTATTATAGAGAATAGCCGACGATGTTCCGATTGTGGTAAAGAAAAAGAATCATTCGGAACTTCCTCGGCTATTGCGATTGGAAAAAGAATCTATCGTCACGTAAGCGTTTAGAATTTTTCTCTCTATACAGCAGTGACGGTTCCCGACTAACAAGTACGGTTTCCAAAGAAACGTTGTTGCCACCAAGGAAATGCTCGAACCTATAATTCTTGGACTGAGGTTGTGGCTGACACATAAATAACAATATCAGCGGTCAGTTAGAAAGCAAATATCTAGAAACAATTGAAACTATTATACACCATAAAACCGTGCAAAGTCGGGTTATATTTCGTCGCTACCCGCTCTTAGTAAGACCAATAAAGCAACTACATGATCATTTGTTTGGTTTTAGATCAGAAGCATTAAAATCGGGTTATTTCCAAGCGTTTATATAAAAAGTTGCAACAAAATTCTTGTCAAATTTTAAGATGTGTTTTCCGAAAAAATATATAAATAATTCGGAAAGTAACGTATTTTTCCGAATCCAAAAGAATTTTACAGATTAAATGTGATTTCTAGAAAACATTCTGAAACTTGGCTTGACTTAATTTAATTGTAGGTGTTTAAGAAATTGTATTATATGTTTTATAAAATGTGTTATGTAGTGGATGTCTTAGAAGTTGTGCTTGTTTATCAACACCAACATATGATTAAAAAAGAGTTATTTTGAGTTTTGAAAGATGTTAATAGCCATACAACGAACTTGTCGTTATACACGTCCTCGAGATTGTTCATAATTATGTGCTTAAATAGCCTTGGAAGTCTTATTGATTCATCAGATCTACTCCAAATCGAAAGCTGACATGAAAGAAATTTAAACGATGCTACTCTATGGTTGCTATGAAAACAGGCCGATGTGTTTTTATTTTCTCGCGCAAAGGACTAACATCCCAATTACTTACACGGAAGAAATGTATTTACACGCTCTTATTTTGTATTTAAATTTTTAGTTTGTTGTTTACTTTTGTAAACACTCATTCGTCTCTCTTGTATGTTCTATACAGTAACGGTATTCATTTCTTATACATCCATAGCAATGACAACGGAGAACAAAACGAAAGGCGGAGGAAGATGGACCTCTCTGCAGACCATGGGTCTGCACGAGAAAGACCCGGAACCAGATTTCAATGACTGTCTCATGAAAGTATTCCGTCAAAAACTGCAACGAAAGCGTCAGGAACACGCTTGCAAGGTAATAATGCGGATATTGAACACATAAACACGACATTATAAAATTATTCTACTAACCATTGGTGTTTTTTTTTAATAAACTAGTATTGGTAAGCTCACTAGTTTAAAGTTTAAAATTTTTAAGTTTTTTTTAATATATATCCCAGTTTGTACATTTACAATACAAAAACAGGAGACAAATTCGTGTGTGATAATAAATGATAATAAACAGTCATGTGAACTTATGAGGGCAACATTGTATTGAATATATTAGATGTAAAGATATATTTAGGCGTATCAACAATTTTCTTTATACAAAAAAGAAAGAGAAAGAGAGAAAAATATAACAACCACAATTTAATCTGTATTAAATCTATATATTTATCTTTTTTTTTCATTTTCTCTCTACTGCAGAAATATTGCTTTTTATAAGAAAATGTTAAGTGTTTGAGTTTATTGACTTTCAAACAGCTGCTTCTATTCGATATGGTAAAAATAATGCCAAAGACATCACACATGTAATTTGACGACGCTACCAATGTTATATTTAATCTATGAAAACTCATTTATACAGCAAATTTTGTTTAAAGATACCTTTGGGAGATTAAAATGAAGTCAAAAATTGGTCCAAAGAAATGACTCATGACTTAAAACTATTAATTATTTATACATAATATCATTCCATGACATATATCATTAGTAACCATATATAAACTGTTCTTTGCATATTTAACCCGAACCCTTAGGCGAGGGATATATTGCAAACAACCGTTTATATATGATCATATTATCTTTCAGGAATATTTAAAAAGAATTTATCATACAGCAAACTTCCTTTTTCAGAGAACAAAATGAAATTTTTTCATACATTGACAGCAGCCGTATATATTATTAGTTATAAAGATCGTTGACAGGTTATATGGCCCTATATAAACGGCTGTTTGTAAATATAACCCGAGCCGCTAGGCGAGGGTTATATTGCAAACAGCCGTTTATATACGGCCATATAACCTGTCAACAATCTTTATAACGAATTTATAATACAGCAAGCATTATTTTTAAAGGAATAAAGCGTGATTTCTTTATATATCGACAGCAGCCGTGTATATAAAACTATATTAACGTCACGATTATCCAATGAAAAAGCGACGTTACAAAAGTACAGTATTATAAACAACATTATAAATAAATATTTCAGGAATTGTTTTGATATTTCAGACAGCCAATCAGCTAATTAAGCAGGTCACTGATATTGCCTTTTCATTGAGCACCGAATGGAAGGAATACACGACTTGCTCTGTGAAAAGCGGGGGTGTTAGAACAACACCTTTGCGCACTCTTGGTGAAGGAAGTTATGAGTGCATGGTGCCATTAAAACGACCAATGAGATTGGACGGATTTAAGGTAATGTGTTACCTGTAAGCAAGTTAATATTTATATTACCTCATTTTTTTAAATTCTCGTTTTTTCCCTCAGATTTTTTTATCAGTTTTGTAAATTTCACTCACAGGTTTTTTTTTAATTGTGATGAGAGTTTCTCTTCGTAATGTAAATTGTACTCACAGGTATGGAACTGTAACGTAAATTCCACGTTAAAAGTTATTACAGTTATATAAATTTCGCTGAACAGTTTTTAACCGTTGTGTAAATTTTAATGTTCAATTGTATGTTAATTTCACTTTAAAACTAACAGTAATGTAATGTTATTTTAAAATGTTTGAAATCCCGCTCAAAGGTTTTGAACTGAAATGTACATTTCAAACCTAATTTGTAGTCGAACGTAAATTATACCCACAGGTGTTTTAACGTAAAGTAAATTTCTCTCACAGGTGTTTTTACCGTATTGTAAATTTCTCGCACAGGTGTTAAACCATATTGAAAATTTCTCTCACAGGTGATTTAACCATAATGTAAATTTCTCTCACAGGTGATTTTTACGGTACTGTAAATTTTTCTCAACAGGTGTTTTTTACGGTAATGTAAATTTCTCTCACAGGTGTTTTAACCATAATGTAAATTTCTCTCACAGGTGTCTTTACCGTAATGTAAATTTCTCTCAAGGTGTTTCAGCGCGGCATTGATGAGATGCCCCTACATCGTTGCTTAATTCAAGTAAACCCAGCTTTGTGTAAACAAGAACAACATCTTGTAAACAGAGAGTGGGAACCATTCATAGATAACGACGGCTTCCTTAGGCCTACAGGAATACTTAACTGGTTTAACAGGGGTATGTTTTAAAAACTTCAATAGTTACGAAAAAAATATAAAAAAACAAATTAATTTATGTAAGTAGAAAATGAATAAATGACATAATTAACATTAAGATATAAATAAAAATAATAAATAAATAAATAAATAAATGAATAAATTAACGAACGAACGAACCAACCAACAACATACCAACCAACCTACCTACCTACCTATTTATTTATTTATTAATAATGTTATTTTTACTGTTTTGATTTATTAATGTTATTTTTACTGTTTTGATTTATTCAAGTTAATAAAAGGTATTTGATGTTACGGTTTTACTTTATTTTTTTACGACCTGTTTAATAGAAGATACGAAATGATTTTTAGTTCAATACTGAATTTATTGAGCAAGTTAAATAAACTTATATTATACGCGCCTCTGACGAGCATGACGTTTATTTATTCAACGAGTTTAATAAATTTAGTATTGAACCTACACAAATTAAAAATACTATTTATTACATTACCAAAATGTATCACTTTGTCAATGACGAGGTTATAGTGCAACACTAACAGCTATAGTGCGTCTTTACGCTTTGTTAAAAGAACGCAAATAACGTCACGTTAAAATAAATCCAAGACCTTGCAATATATCCATTCTTTTCAGAGCTGCCAAAGCGGCACGGTCGTGTGATGAAAATACTTAAATCATACATTTTTAAATTGTTCCAGGTTTACATAAAGCTTGCCAGGTTCTGTTAACGGAGAATCATAACGTAGATAAGCTCGGTTGTTACGTAGGTGATGACGGCACGGCCACCATACATGCAACTATGTCGGACTTTGACGGAGATGAACTGCAGATTAACGTTTTTAAGTACGTTAGTTTTGTTGGTAACTGTAGTTTCCTCTTTGTTGGTAAAATTGCGACTGTAACTTTATTGGTCGAACAAAACCCCATGTGACCCCCTCAGTGCTTTATTTCTGGCTCGAGCGAACACCCAAGTAGAACCAGCGAATTTTTGTAAGATATATGAAAGAATCCAAAGTTTCACTGTATATTAATTATAGAAATTGGTTCACTGTAAATTGCTTATTGTAATTAACTCACTGTAAATCACTCATTGTAAATAATTCACTGTAAATCACTCATTGTAAATCACTCATTGTAAATAACTCACTGTAAATCACTCATTGTAAATAACTCACTGTAAATCACTCATTGTAAATAACTCACTGTAAATGAGTCATTGTAAAAACAAATTCACTGTAATTCACTCATTGTAAATCACTCATTGTCAATAACTCACTGAAAATAACTCACTGTAAAACACTAAACTTATTTACATATACAGGGCGGACTGGTAGATAAGAGGTATCGAGGCGTTTCTTTATTTTTTATGCATTTTACCGGCGGCAAAAATCATATTCCACCATAATTCTTATGATTTGACAATTGTATGTAACGATGTCTCTGAAAATAACATATTTAACATTTAGAAAAACTGAAGGCGCTTTCAACTAGTTGTGCTATCTTTTCAGCGTGAATATATACCCAGTGTTCGCACTGGACAGATTGCCATCGAGTGTGAAACTGAGTGCTCCGTTACCGTGCTACGGTGATTACATACAGGGACAGAAAGAATTTAGAAATCTTGTACTCAAAGATCTTGAAGATGGTAAACCGATCGCCTTCCTCGATCCAAAAGTGAGTGATGTTTTTTTTTTTTTTTTTTTTTTTTTTTTTTTTTTTTGTTTTTTTTGTTTTTTTTTGTTAATTGTACTATAAAGCTAAAAGTTGCAACCGCCGCTAAAAATCAATAGCGCAACATTCAGCCAGAAGCGCAAAATTTAGCCGCAAGCGCAACATTCAGCCACAAGCGCAACATTTAGTGTCGTTGTGAAATATTACGGTGCCACAGTCTCTTAACAAAAATTACTTTTTAAAATGTCATTGGTCAAAAAAGGGAATTGTTGCCCTTACATTGAGCATTTTCTTTAATATATGTTGTTTTTGATATATTCAGAAGCGGTCTCTAGGGAAGGTGTTTCCGTATTCCTTTTTATATTTGGCAAAATGATGTTAAAATTTGTTAAATTAACTAACATACTTCCTGTCTACCTTTATACCTGTTTGTTTTATTTTTATTTCAGTCAGACGTAGGGCATAGTCTTGTGAAGAAGTGTTTACCAAAAGATGGTCCAACTTGGAAAATCAATATCAGTTTAACCGAATACCACGTGTACAGTTTGATCGACAAGTACTGTCGAGGTCTGAAATTTCGCCATGTTTTGATTCTAATGAGTATACTTCGTGAAGAGCATCCGAAAAAACTAGGACCTCTCAATAACGAAATCCTAGTAAACACGCTGTTTAACGTCTCTCAACGTTACATAGATAAGATTCGTGACAAGAAAGTTTGGATATTTCAGGTCATTCAAACACTGATAGACTATCTTGAACAAGGTTTCTTGCCGTCATTCTACCTGCCCAGACAGGATCTTCTCCATACATATGGAATTTCTAAAGAAAAACAAAACATCGCTTGCGAAACTCTGAAAGCATTCTTGTCAGAAATTAAAAGCAGCTCGAAAAAATTAATGAAACACACTGGTTATGTTGATCCTTTTAAAATGTCACTGCAAGAGGCGATGAAAATGAGAACAGATACAAGAGACGGTCGTGACGACTCTGAAAATGTTCCAAATACACAGGGGGAAGATGGTGTTCCAAAAACGAATGAAGACCGCAAAATGTCAAGTAAGGGTCAAGAAAAAGACTTTACCGACGACGGTCCAGTTGAAGATACTGACCGTATCGGTGAATTACCGAGAAGTGCTGGTTTTAGAAATTGGGATAATAATTTTGAAGACGAAAGCGGCATAAGTAAGCCAAGCAAAGGCGGAGAAAGAAGTGACATATTTTAAAAACTGAAAAACAATTTAAATCATTTATAAACGAATTTCCAATCCAGCTTAATAATTGATTGCCACAAAAGGCATGGTTGAAAATATAATGAATAAAAAATTTAAAAATCTGCCATAAAGGTCATGATCGCCGTATTTGGCTTTCTCCTGTAAAATTGTTTATCTGAAGGAGAAAAAAAACAATAAAAAACGTGCCGGGCAGTCGTTGTTAAAGACTGATTGGTAATTATTTGATAGCTTTGGTTTTAAACAATTACTTCTGTGGATCATCTGACAACATGATTGGTACAAATTAAAGTGAATAATTTATATTTTGTTAAATGATGAAATATATCATTTCTGATATATTCACATAACACTCTATTCCCCTAACACCGCCCCCTTTCTTGCCTAATTCATGCGGCACCGTTCCAATATGACTGTGTATAACGTTGGGGGTACATCTCGTGAAAGAAAGTATCAATAGAATCACAAATCATGAGAGAATCTAATGATATATACAAGTAAATATACGCATGTGTCAATGAGGCTATGAGATCCTCCTTAGATATACAAATCTTCTATAGTTAAAGGTGCCTTGTTCATAGTATGATAACATTTACTGTAAAAACCTATGTTAATCAAGACCTATTAGATTTTCACATCACAAATCTGTGAAAATCCCAGGGTAAGGTGTGTTACTGTAGAATTTACGACACTGCAATTCAATGTTATGTGGCGGCCATCATTATCGCCCATATTTTATGATAGTAGTATGCAAACTGTTATGTTTAATTTTCAAATTACCTGTACAAAATATTCATATTGTATACAACGTTAGATAAATACTGTATATCAAATAAAACGTATACGTTAAAGGCACATTATGACTTAAAAATAAATATTCTTTTAAATAGAAATGGGCAAACGTTAGTTTTAAAACATTTTAGCATCACCTCAGGAAAGTAGTGCTTCATGTGAAATTGCTTGTTAAAAAAGTAGCAAACTGTAAAAAATAGTATTTTAACTTCCATACAAAATACTAAATCACTATAACGGTACTCATTTCCAAAGAGGAAAAATAGTCAAAGATTGTTTACATGATATGATCAATGAGTAACTTTTTGGAAGCTTTAACAGGACATCAGAATTAATAAATAATTGAGAAAAAAGAAAGAAAAAACTATTTCTGGGCAATATGAGCCTTTAAAAATAAAAGCAACCAATCGACAAAAACAGTTAAAAGTCGATGTGGTTATTCATAAACGACATTCTGTTCGATTATTTCTTCAAAATATCACAATTATTGCTTCACTTACGATAATCGATTGTTCTTACGATTATCGATTGATCTTACGATAATCGATTATTTTTAAGATAATCAAATGTTCTGAAGATAACCAATTGAATCTTTAAGTAATCGACTCGTTGACATATTCTTTGATAATATGCATGTTCATCTTCTTTCATTGTTGACATGACATCATTACGTATTTAAATATTGAGTCACGTGGTTATAAGTATTAGTTTCTAAAAGCAGCATGCATCCAGAGCCAAAATATTTTTAAAAAATCAAATTTGATACCGGTTACTAACCTTGTAAGGGTAGTTTTGCATATTTTGACTTCTTTGTGGTAATTTACGTCGATTTTAAGCGCCGTTTGCAATGTGTAAATTAACATTTTTATTCTTTTCACACTATTTTACCTTTAAATACATTTTTAAAAATCATGAATTTGGAGGCATTCTGCTTTAAATGATCATAATTATGATATACATGTCTAAAACGGTAGTGAAACTGGTGTCATTTATAAATATGTCACAGATATACATGTATAAATAGACTGATAACAATATAACGTGATAAAGATACTATTCACCTTAATACGTGAAAATATACACGTGTTTTTATTTGTTTGGGTCGTCAGACCAAACAAATAATGGTAGCGAAATTTCAGAGGCTAATGTTGTTAATTGCAAATGCCGAAAGTAGTCAACTTTTTTGAAGCGGTTACTTCCCTTTTGTATGTACACTAAAGCCGAAAAATTCAGGGGAGATCATTGCGTAAAGATGGTCAAAGACAGGCGAATCAATTTTCAAGCAAAGTAATTCCCGAATGGTCGAATATTTCTAATATTGTTTTATTGTATTTTCTGATCGAAAATAACTAAATACAAAGCGGACATTCAATCTCTGACACAGAAGTTTACGACAAACCTAACAACAAGTAGTTCTCAAAACAGCTTAAAACTAGCGATTTAAAAGAAAGAAATATTTTATTTTGTTTCAAGTATCCAACAAATTACAACGCATTTAAAGTTAAACAATAGCGTTGGCTTATAGAATTGTCAATAAATGCACAATCACAAATTACGCGGATGAATATGATTTTATCAATGAAAATACTATTTTTAGCCATGTCGATTACCGAATACTACACAAACCGAGTAATGGAATATATAGATTCTACATGTCGGACTGTTTGGGCGAGAGGATTTTCGCTAAAATATTTACTTCAATTTTAAACAACAGGTTTACCCTGAACAAAATACCTCGAAATTAATAAGGATTACAAACCCGAAATGCAATGGAAGTTCTAAATTTAGAATGAGTTGATATTATTCAGACATCTGTGTATAACTTCTCCGTGGTACAGTGGTAACGCGCTCGCTTAGTGAGTAAGAGGTCTCGAGTTCGAATACCAGTCGAGGAAACTTTTTTTTGTTAAATTCTTTTTTAAGTGTTTTTGTTAAGGAAGTAGCCTTTATATGCAAGGATAAAGTGTGGCTGTCGTAAAAAATGAACATAAATGATTTTTTGATGCAACTCTAGTTATGCAGAATTCCGTATGTATCAAACTCTGGTGCCTTGCAAAATGAATTATAATACATAAAAATAAACTTATACAGGAAAATGCATACAGATATACAGTACGATTTAGATTGCAAAGATCAGAAAATACCACAGAACTTGCAGCCCTTTGATTCTTTATAAATATACATGCTTAAAGTAAGCTCCAGGATTATTTACATATGTGTTAAACAACAGTTAAAGTCGTTACAAGCCCTAATTTAGAATAATATGGTTTTCTTCAGGCCGTTCACATATAATTTCACCGTGACTGAAGGGTTTTCGGGCTCGCTTAGGAAGCGAGAGGTCTGGAGTTCAAATCCCAGTAAAGGTAACTCATTTTTTTCAAATTGTTAAAGTCAAATAAACATTGGATTGAATATCAGTGTTGCAATTAGTCTTATAGCCAATTTACTACAATTAAAACGATGGAAAGCATTGGTGGCACTATACATATAATCTCACAACCTGCACCTTTCTTACATTCTGAGACCCAAACAAATTCAGCGCCTTCTGTGCTTTGATTTATGTACACATTGTTGTCTGTAAATAACATAAATAACACCATGACTGTGACAGCTGTAGCATTGCAATTCTTATAAAATAAAATATTCACGTTCAATTTTGTTTTCTAACTGCCTTCCTTATCTAATATTTCATAATTACTATCACGGATTTTTGAAGTATCAAATCTATCAGTAATAAATTGCTACTTCAGATATAATTTCAAACGGAAACAGTTTTACTTAAGAGTCAGTGCGTTGAACAAATGTATTATAAGTATGAAAATATTAATGTTGACACGTCCCCGCACTCGAGGAATAGAGGATACAGACGTTTAGATGGCATTCATATCATGATAAGATAAGACGCACGTCCTTTTGTGTTGAAATGTTTAAAAAATATTTACAGTTGAAAGGGACAGATCAAGCCGGTCAGGGTGGGCTCGGGGTCTGGTCCATAAAATGTTTCTGTGTATAAATGTTACTCAATACACCGGCGTGCTTTGTATGTACTTCATATTGATTTGTTTGTGTAACAAAAGATTATTTAATCTGAAATGTCATGTTATAAATGTAGTCAGAAATTTTGAAAGAAATCGCAAAAGGACCCCCTATATTTCCACAGCCAACAAAAATAAGAGGTAGTGCTAGGACAGCGGTAATGTAAAGAGCAACTCAATCTACCCTCTTTCCATGGTGCTGATCAAGAATACTAAAGATTAAGGCGCAAATTTATAACTAAAATTCTACTTTGTGAAAATCAATTCTATGAAATAATATAATTACTGCTCGGTAAATTTTTTTGCTAAAACAATGGAAAGACAGCACATTTGTATATAACTAAGACTTTTTGAACAATTACATTATGACATCGGCAAATTAAATGTATGTCTCATACAAAATTTAGACCTTTATTGCAATATATTTTGAACTTTTCTCGGGTAAAGTAATGCAATAAAACATGAGTCTTCGATGCTATTTGGGGAATGATCTACGAAATAAGTCTTTAAATTAGTTTAAGTCTTTAAATTAGTTTAGTCTTATATTTTTCTTAATCCAGATTATTTACATCAATATTTCGTGTAAAATAGCATTACCAACAACAACAACAACATAAACTTTATTTAGCTCAAGCAATGATAACAAGCATGTGAGCATACAGCGAATAATACATTTGAACAAAAATACCTTGTGAGGTCACGTGTCAGGGTTGACAATAGTAATAGTGTGTTATTCCATTTATTTTTTGAAAAGGACTATAAATTCTTGTTTGGGAATGTTCCAATTTCGGATATTGGGTGGCTGAAACTAATTTAATAATCTACACTTTTTAATAGTTATGTGAATTTTGAACACTATTAACACCATTTTTTATTGTCTTTAAAAGAAACAGAGTTTATTCTTATTGTATTTGTGCAGCCTGAATTAAATCGCTGCATCGAAACCGCGCTATACCCAAAAGGTAGTGTAATCGTCCGCTGTGTAAAGCCTTACCAGGTAACTTCGCGTAAAATGTGTTAAGTAAGATATACCAATAAAACGCAAGTGAGCATTATATATGACTTTAATACGTTTTATTCACGTTGAACAGCCTTTATTTGTAAGGAGAGTGTGAAATTAACGCTCGGCGTCCTATTTCCTATTTGATAGATCAGTATCTAATATCCGCAATGGAACTACATGTATGCATCTTACAAGCGAAAACGGATATAGTGATTATAATAATTGAAACTTTATGTACACATATATATTCAGTTTTAATAAAAACAAGTTAACTTCCTAATTGGTATTATATGTAAAGAAATAGAAAGTATAAGATTATCAACATGACTAGCACCAACGAAGAGGAGACACAATTGAAAGAAAAATGTTCTGAGAAGTTGAGAACATGTGAAGATGCCTTGGAAATGTTGAGGTTAAAATGTTTGGAAAGAGGCGCCAAAGGTATCAGAGGCCTTGCAAGGTACATGCTATTTATATTATTTAACTGATCATTGAATTAACCTTTTTTCACATTCAATGATAATCTATTTTTTCATACCTTAGCTACTTATATTCATTCAGTTAAATTATCACCGAAAATTGTTGATGTTTTTTTTCTTCAAAATATCAAAGAATAGTAAACTTTTCATGCAAAAAAAACAACTTGTTAAATGGGAAGTGTCATCTTCGAAACAGTTTGTTTGCAATTCTTCTTTACTAAATCCAATCAGATAATGTTGCTATTTTTGAAAAGATTTGTTTTCAGTATTGAGTGGATATATGGACAGAAAAAACATTTTTATGAATTATTTAGCGGTTTTCGAATATCATTTGAATTATTACTACTATACTTACACAATTATCTTGTGACATATAAAATCTTAATGTATACATAGTATATATATATATATATATATATATATTTTATATATATATATATATATATATATATATATATATATATATATATATATATATATATATATATATATATATATATTTTTTTTTTTTTTTTTTTAAAGCTAATTATCGGCCTATGAAGAATTCATATAACAGATGTTACATATGTAAAAAGAAATGCAGTTCGATTTTCTATTATGTTCGCTAAAAGAAACAATACTTGTTATATGGTGAACAATTGAACGATCCAACCGTAAATATGTTTGATGCTGAATCAGGCAATTATGTTGCAGCCGCTTGTAAGATAATTAATATATGCTTCCGTTATGCAAAATATCAAACATATAAAACACACAAAAATCAAGTTAATATGCTCAAAGTGCTTGTTATCGATTAAACTTGTGACTTGCCTTAAATCTACTGTGACATTGGGAATCGCCAGACTAAGTTTACGAAAGTTAAGACAAATGATCTGTGTTTCTTATGACTCAAAACAATGCCAACTTTAAAAGTTCTACTGAGGTCCCAATATGCATTAAAAAATAAAATTTAAGATACTTTCTAGATCAAGTGTTGTACTTATATTGGAAACGTTTGAGATAGATACTGAAAAACGATTATTTTTTTGCAATTCATAGTCTGATTTGAGTTAAATGCGTTTAAACGATTTTCAACTTTGGAATCTTTTGCACAATAAAAAAATATTATTCTGGAGAACGGAGTGAGCAAATGATATAAAAAGTTACATACAATTATATATACAGAAATTACGCGAAAATGTCGAAAAATTATTTCCGTTCCAATTATATCAAATGACCTGTAGTTCTGAAAATGATATACATGTACATGTGTGTAACCTTAATTGACCCTGAATTATAAGATATCGGATTTGCATGAACAGTGACAAGATCATATATTAGCACTGAAATTGTAACAATTTTCCTGTATTTTTTATATGAAACAGACCCTTACAGTAATATTTGAATTTTCAGAGTTTTTCGAATCATGGATGATCCCGATGACTGTTATAAACAGCTCAGTCTTGATGAGTTTAGGAAAGGTCTAACAGGCTATGGTTTAATGATAGATGAAGCAATAACCAAAAAACTATTTGAGCAACTGGACAAATTTAAAATCGGTTTACTAGACTTTGATGAATTTCTTCAAGCTCTTCGAGTAAGTCATGAAACAAGAAAACATTGTTCGGTTTTAACAGTATCGTTTTAATACATATAATTTTGGAGTCACTGCATGTAGTAGTATTTATTTTTCAAAGTTAAGTAGCTATAGTTTCGCCGTAAAATCGTTGAACAAAATAGTAATAATCATGGTGTACTGTCACCTTTTAATTACGGCTGTTGCAATAAAAGAATCCCTTGATAGTGATTACATCACTTTTGTTATGTTATACTTTAATGTTTTTTTCCTAATTTAAGGATGTGTCAAGTGCTAGATATGAAATAATCAACAAGGCTTTTGAAATAGCAGACATCAATGGTGACGGTGTTATTGACTGTAAAGATCTCAGTAAAGTGTTTAATGCTAATGACCACCCTAACGTTGTCAGTGGGGAGTGGGATGTTCCACAAGTTTACAAGACCTTTCTTGATCAATTTGACACCAACGATGACGGAGAGGTAATAATTTCTTTACAATTATTTATAGTATCCAACCGACAAACGGTAAAGGTTTTTCCCCTAAGCTCACTATAGTTTGTCATGTCATTCATTTCAATATTTTTTTTCAAGTTTGTGCATTAAAAAAGTTTTCTTTAATTCGAAATGATAAAAGTAATTAATTCAAATGCCTGAAAAAACGCGTTTTCCTTTAAGTGAATTACAGGTGTATTCTTTAGGACAATTGGATCAAAAACCAACACACATTTAAGTATCAAAACATGCTTCGTTTTATTCAGCTTCCTCGGTTGATACATAAAGGAAATGACGTAAACGTACAAAACGGACGTCTACGTTAATAGACATCACATTTGGTATTCTTTCTAGTTTAAAACACTTAATCAATGTCATTAACATTTAAGTTGCTATTTTTTTCAGATTTCAAAAGAGGAGTTCACTAATTACTACGCAGGTGTGAGTGCTTCAATAGATGATGATGCTTACTTTGAATTAATGATGAAGAACGCCTGGAAAATGACATAAATTAACATCACCGGTCATTATATTCACGTATTGATGTAATGCAGCACGAAGATCCATATCTTTAATTATAGATAACTATTGCCTTTGTTAGCAGAGTTTCACAGACCGCTATTGTGAAAATCAAATTGTACTAAAACAACTTTCTTATGCGTCCGAGATAATAATTGATTGTGAAATGTCACTGTGTATGCAACTTTCTTCACATTAATAGAAGTTCTTGTCTGCCTGTCTCTGCGAACAGAATTCTATAAGGTAGAACCTCTACACTTAGAATCAGCAGGCACATACATTAACATACGTATCTAGAAATATCATAGACGTGAACGAGAGCTTCAGTTGAGATGGTCGTGTTCTTCTTGGTCGTGTTTCAAAATTCAGTGAATTCCTCCTATATTCTTCATTTTAACTTTCTGCCAGAGATGAGGGTTGGTGTAACATGAACAATCTAATTTTGTTAAATCAAATAACTGTCTATTTTAAAATGTATTGCAATAATATGTTTCTTGTACAAGGCAATGTCCTTTTTAAAAATATTTATGCAAGTATATATTAATTAATAAAACTGTTGTAAATGAAATCCACATTCAATGTATTTTGAGTATTTTTGCCAAATCTAAAATTGGCTATTCTATTAATGTTCTTAAGAATTTTGTCTATTTCTGGCTAAGAGTTTAAGGTTATTTTATTATTATTTTCTAAAACTGGGTATAATTTATTGACATTTAACTATTCTAAAAGCTTACCATTAACACTCTATTATACTGGGCAATAATCAAATTAAAAAACATATACAGTTTATCATATTTATATTTGACTTTTCAAGTTCATTTCATTGTAAATATTCAAATAATACAAAGCATTAATTTCAATTTTAATGATTGTTCTAAATACAACATGAGAATTGTTGTAAAAAGTTCACTAAATAGACAAGTAACCAAAGAAAAATATAAATACAATACAAAAATACAACATTAACTTGCTGTTGTATAACATATTGGTCTGGTTTCATATATCTCATTAACATCACCACTAATGTAAATCTGATAAATTCTGACATAACAAAGTATGTACAGTCCAATATTACTATTTACCATATCAAGTGTAATATCAAGTGTAAGACATTTAATTGAAGAAAGGCATTTAAAATATATACACGTATGAGTAAAGAATATATATTATATTTGTGACAGTAAGAATATATACATATACATTAAAAAATATAGGAAAATATGTGTACAGTCACAGAACTAAATTTACTTCATAAATTCAATTAAACACAAATTCATGACTTTTGGCGTTACTTTTCCATGAAGCACCAGAAATATTTTTGAACCACAAGCAATACTGCTCCAGTAACTTTATGATCATGTGCCCTCTTGCAGGGTTATAATGGTTGATCTTAATCAGCATATATCAGGCCCATTACTCATTCTTTTAGACTTTCCATTGCCATTATTGACATCACAAGCATCTGAATTGTCCCCTGAATCAGAATTCTCCCACTGTTTATGTATGGTGTAGAAAAACTTGGCAGTATCGTTTCGTAGATTTGATATACTGTATGTATTACCTGAAAATATCATATATACAACATTCAAATACTGACCACATCTATTGACACAAGTTTTTAGCAACTTCAAAAGTCCAATGACTGGTTAAGTTTTCAGTATTTATTTGCTTTGTTGGATTTTAAGTCAAGGTGATACAGCAACTTTTCCGAATGACATAGGGTGCTCCTTTGCGCATTATTTAGTAGATTCTTTGAGTAGAACCATTGACCTGTAAGCTAGCTGAATAGCTTTCTCACATGTCAAGGATGCAAAAGTCTCCAGCTTGATTCAAAGCCATAGTGGTGAAAGGCAAGTGATTTTGAGTCAGCAACTTCATCCAATCATCAACAGAGGCTCTAATGTAAAGAAATAAAAGCAAAGAGAGGGTATAGAACATTACACTGACCTATAGGAACCATGAATGTATCTCCTGACTCTAATAATGTTGTTGTGTTATGAATTTTTACCAGAACTTTACCATGATCAATGAAGAAAACCTGAAATAACAAGCATAAAATAAAAACAGTTGAAGGTTAAGGCAAAGAAAATAGGCCGTATCAAACATTTATATACAAGATTTCTCCTGTTTACTGTTAAATCACATGCTGGAGATCAGTTAATATTACAATAAACCAAAAGTAATACAACAATATTCTTACAGAAGAAAGACAACCAATTTAAAACATTTATACTAGAGTTAACCTACAACTTACTTTAATCATGCTATTATTGTCTAGCTTTTGACAGCTGTACAACACAGATTTGAACATGAAAATATCTTTTAATTCTTAGAGGGTATAAATCTATATCTTATGAAATATTTTTATAAAATTTATCAACAGTAAAGCTATATTGGTTTTATTATTATATGGTTGATTCCCGAAAAAAGTTGTGACATAGAATGTCTGGATATTGTATGTAAACAGAATAAAATGTTCCAGAACAAAATATTATTTGCTATTTTAAGTAGGGTTTTATCCATTTAGCAATGATTTTGTGCATGTGTCATTCGCTTTAAAGGCAATCATATACCATGTTTATTTAATACAAACATTTTGGAAGTAATCTTTTTTAAAATTCAAACAATAATTTTTGAATCAGATACATAGCTTTATACACTTTAAAAGACTTAAAATAATCAGTAAACTACATTAATTTACTGCAACATATAAATGAATTCAAACCCATCCTGCCCACAGTCTGTCTTTGATACAAAGCATGATAATAATCTACTCAATTTACACTGAAGTAATGATTGAATAATGAACAACTTACAATAAAATCAGCTGTTACTAATTGCTCGGGTTTTTCAGCATTTGGTTTAATAGACAAACTGCCTGCTGACATACATGGATGACTCAGATGTTTAGTGATGAGGTAAGGATCTTTTTTCTTTGGTGTTTTATGGCTGGGACCAACAGCTTTAAATGCTTCATGTTTCCCTATACACGCTAAAAAATAAAATATAAACTTGATTAATTATCTTGAATATCACTTGTTTTACAGGCTCAACATTTCATTGTTTTCCATACAATACAGTTATTTTCTTTGTTTTAAACTTGGCTGTATAAGTGTACATCAGATATTGTTTTTGAAACATAAGTCTTTTTCTTTTCTTTTTTTTTGTATAAAAATATATTTACTCTTCATGATCTTTATCTATCTAATTTCTTAACCCTAGACACTGAGCTATATATAACAATATTTTAATCTAAATCAAATTTTTTAAAGAACTACTGAATACCTATGCCATCTTCTGACTCTATGTTTTGGTTGTAGATAGTAATCTCAGGGTCAGATTTGTCTGCTAGATCTATATCAGGAGGGATTTCTCTGTGTATAGACAGTTTCCTGTATGGTTTGTCCTTTCCCTGTTGAGAAGCTTACCTTACTGTAAATATTATCATAAAATAATAAAATTAAGTTCCTCACTGTTTTCTCCCCATGTATGTTTTATCATGTATGAAAATTGGGTTTAAAATAATGCCTTATAACACTGGTTATATGTGTAGGTGCAAAACATTAAAGAACCTTTGAACTTTTTTTATATCATTGTTTATAAGAAAGACCATGCTTCAACAAAACAGTGCCTTTAAATATTATGTATATTTTATTGTGAAGTAATAAATACTTTAAAGCTTGTAAATGGAGGAGATGGTTGTAATATCTTAGAAGTATCACAGAACTTACAAAAACTAAATAGAAAGCTACAGAAGTGTATGGCAAGCGATTTAAAGTAAACAGTATTTATAACTTGGCCAAATAACCACATATATATGTTTATCAAAAAAAGAATACATAATTACATGTATTAAAATATTGTGTATAACCTTTTAGATAAATGTTGGATAATAATCTATTTCACACCAACTTAAAATGTAAGGATCAAAAAAGAATAATGTAAACTTTAACATACTCTGATATTTTAGTTTTTTGCTCTTGCTCTTCTTTTCCTCCAGTTTTTTATACTTAATTTCCAATGAGGGCTTCGCCCCAATAATAGCTGGACCTGAATAGAGAATCACATAAATATGGAATCATACATATGCTTCACAAATGAATGTCATGTAGAGTTTTCAAGAACAAATAAAGATAATTCAATATTAACTACACTTTATAAACTTCACCTAAGAATATATGACAATAAATAGCATAAACCCAATGGAAAGTGCTAGACACATCTTTTACAACAATTTTCTGACTTTTAAGAAAAAAGAAACCTCTTGAAATAGCAATAAAAAATATATATCAAAACACAAAATTACCAGATCTTCTCCTATAGTCAAAAACAACTCGTTCGTTTTTATACCATTCGATGGGCTTCAATCTGGTTCTTTGAGATCTTCTGAGCCCTTCATCAGATGGTGATGGCTTGACTGAAATTATGTGACCAATGATTAAGTTTAATTTTTAAGTATGAACAAGCTATTTCTGCTATATGTTTTTATTTGTTTGGGTCGTCAGACCAAACAAATAATGGTAGCGAAATTTCAGAGTCTAATGCTGTTAATTGCAAATGCCGAAAGTAGTCAGCTTTATTTGAAGCAGTTACTTCCCTTTATATGTAACACTAAGGCCGAACAATTCAGGGGAAATCACTGCGTAAATATGGTCACATGACAGGCGCATTAATTTTCAAGCAAAATAATTCCCGAATCTAATATTGTTTTATTCTTTATAGATATACATGCTTATAGTAAGCGCCATGATTATTTACACAAGTGCTAAACAACAGTTAGCGTCGTTACAAACCCTAATTTAGAGTACTATGGTTTTCTTCAGGCTCTTAATATATAAATTCACCGTGGCTGAGGGGTTTGCGCGCTCGCTTAGTAAGCGAGAGGTCTGGAGTTCAAATCCCAGTTAAGACAACTCATTTTTTTTCAAATTGTTTAAGTCAAATTAACATTGGATTGAATATCAGTGTAGCAATTAGTCGTATTGCTTCTACTACAATTAAAACGCTGGAAAGCATTGGTGGCACTATACAAAATTAAATTGTTTTAGAATCTCACAACCTTCACCTTTCTGACATTCTGAGACCCAAACAAATTCAGTGCCTTCTGTGCTTTGATTGTATTTATAAATTGTATATCATAGTACAAAAATAATAATTATATGTACAGATAAAAGGAAAAAACTTAATTAGTAGCTTGATAAAAATATAGCAAAAAGTTTAAAAAAATAATGCTTGTAAATACCTGATGTATGCGAAAAATCATCACTAAAACTACTAAAACTTGTAAAGAAATATTTTGTTAGGAATTTTTCATCTTGTTTTTTCATATTTACGTTTAAACCGAGACCATAACTTGTGGAGTAAGTGGTAATTAGTTGATAGTTATCTAGAAAAGCCGGTTAGGTGGATAACGACCAAAATGTGTTTAAAATTTGCCGTAAAAAAACATGTACCAACCAATCAACCAAAAACAACCCACCAACCAATCCAAACCACAATAAAAAGGCTGTGATCATTTTTTAAATTCATTCATAGATAGATGTTTTGCCAGTTCTTGACTTAACGTCCTCCTAATTGGTTGTAAAGTAATTTGTTATCAGGTGGTATCTTAATAATAGTAACTATTGTAATGTCAAACTTATTAATCAGGTTTATACACACCATTCTCATATTTATTTTGAGATGAGATTCATTGGTGTGTTTGACCTTATTGTTTTACATTATCACACTGATAATGATAATGTAAGTTTCTAAATATAATCTTATTATGTTTCTATTTTTATAAACTGACTTCGTTAGATAATGATGATATAATTTTAGAAGAGTTATGAAAACCTACTTATTAATAATAATGACCCTTACCGTACCCAACGACAACTGATTCTATGCTTTCTGGTCAGAATCTGCACTGTTCGCTGTTAAGTCACAAAATATTTAAGATTTGAAATTTCCGTAAAAATAATGATTTTTTTTGTGTGCAAATTGTAAGGTTCTCTCAATTTATATTCATCATTTTGTGAGAACATTTCTAGAATTAGTATATAATTAGCATAATTGGCATATACGAAAACCTGGTAGGTTCCAACCTAATCTCAAAGCCATTTCTCACAATTCTGTATAATTGTATATCTTATGCATTAACTTTCGCACACATGAAATTATTATTTATACAAACAAGTTGATGTAGTGAAAAATAAAATACACATGAAGAAAATATATATTAACGTACAGAAGTCAGATGCCCATTTCAACAGTATTGTCCATTGATCTGAATTATAAACATTTCTTCTCTCATAGATATGTCACTTTGTTTAACTAACCTTTAGTAAGTCACTTACAACTCGCCTGAACGAAACAATAAAAATAATGTTAATATCTTTTCAGAAAGTTCTTGATTTGACAAAATGTCAATTTATTGATCTTACTCTGGCCGCACTCTACATCAAAGATTAATATCTACAATTCTAACCAGTGTCTGTGTCGCCTTTTTTAAAGTAATGAATCACGTGACTAATATCTGAGCGAATGTTGGTGTACTGCCCTGATGCCTTTTAGAAATACCGGGGCTGGAAAACATATTTTTGCGAGCTATCGATGCGATTCGATTTTTGAATCGATTTCATTTTAATTATTGCTTACATTTTATTTATTTATTTATTTATTTATTCTTATTGGTTTTTTTTATTTTTATGTTGCATGCGTCCCAGTTGATCTAAGAAAAAAATCTATATGTTTTTATGCTAGATTTAATTTTAAATGTAATTTGTTATACATGTATTATCATTCTATACTAATTATTTACCTAGCGACGAGTCCAATATGGGTTTTCCTGTTGTGTAATCGTCCAAATATAGCGTCGTAGTGTACGGAAACAATAGATGGTAAGTAATCAATAAATAAAGTTTCAAAATAAAGTTTCAAAATAAAGTTTCAAAATATTATTACACGCCCTTATCTGCGCAATACATTTGATAACGCATTTAAATATGATTTAATATGAATAGGTCATCGATATGTTTAGGTATTTTTCTCTCTTTATTATAGATATGGGATTTCGGGGTCTTTATTAGACATAGTATATAAGGGCGGTGTCATAAAAGTACTTCTTAAGATACACAACGTGCTTGGGTATTTTGATGCTTACTATATATGATAAGATAGATATTTTAAACAATGGATCATCAAAATATTTCTGTGAGTATAATTTAATGCATATAAACATTTTATAGTGAACTATTTATTTCAAAGCACCAACATTGGCTAAAAGAAAACAATAAAAACTAGTTTTTGTATTTTATGAAAGATTTAGAGTTAATCCAGTAATATAAAATTTTTCGACTCGAAATTAAAGGCTAGATACAATACAATAATGATTTTATATGGTACCTTTTTTCGCACAACGGAAACTAAAGTAGATACATAATTTTTGCACTCGAGAAATGAAAACAAGACTTAATGGAGTTCAATATTGAGTTAATACGGATCCTAATATGGAAATGAAAACGAGGCTTTATTGATAAGAACCTATAATGACTGATATTGGAACATTACGCGATACAAATTTTGGAAGTTTATTAATTACATTTATTAGGTGTGAAATAAAATGTGTACGAACTTTTTCACGACGAAATTAATGATAACGCGACAACAGTTTTTACCTTCATTTTAAAAAGCGAATCTAATCAAACTATTTAAGAAAGTTGCTGATGACAAGGAGCTTAATAAAACACGAATAAGAAACTATGACTCCAGACATTTAAAATCTGTTTTATCGATAACATAATCCCGGAAGTTCACATTTTCGTAAAGATTTTAGACACCGTACGTGTTCCGCCATCTTGAATTTGCAAAGAATAAGATTAGATAGTTGTAAATAATTATCGGCATTCGGAACTGCCTCGGCTATTATCTATAATAACCTCGGAAACAATACGGATTGAAAGTAGTTCTACCACGTGGTTTCAGATGTAAACAGAAACAGAGATAATGTAAAACGAATGTATACATTTGACATCTAATGTGTGTCCCGGTACTCTTATGCTTGAAAATATGTCTGACAACAATTTGCAATTTAAGTATGCCGACTGATGTTCAATTTTAAACAAATTCGACTAAATGTCAACAGGTTGGTTTTATGTACTTTCGGTTTCTACAACCATTATAATAAATATATAAATAATGTTTGCTATTGTACCTATGAATTCACTTATTTTATGTGGACTTTTACTACATTCATGTACATTTGTATATTGAAAATAAACTTGTCAACAACTCCAAGCATTAAATTACTATTTGTTTACATGTTTAATTTCTTAGCATAGGTTAGACCGAAATACCGCATCCGTTCTGTGTATTCATACTATTGTGTTCGAGGTCCTTATCCGAAGACTGACGGAACGGGCCGAGTAGTTGCGATTGTAATTATCGGTAATGTATTGTGGCTGATTTGGAATGCTTTTGTGCATCGTGTTGGTGCTAGCGTCGTCCTTTCGCTTACGATGCATGCCAAACGTCACGTTGTCGTGCGGTGTGTTGTCGCGATGTCACATTGTCGCTCGGTTCAAATCGAAAATTGGCTCATAAGCCAAGCGACAGGGCAACATCAGGACAACGCGCCGTTTGGCGTGCCTCGCTAGCGACAAGACGAAAAGGCGATGATAGGTTGTGTTGTCGCAGTGTACCTAATCAGCCACCAAGTTATGGATAAAAATTTAAACATATTCGAAAACGTAAAATCTGCTATAACTTTGCCATATTAAAACAAGACCAATAAATCTCGCGCTAAGGAGTGTGGGTCTTGACCGAATTTTTTCTCTATTTTAGATAGATAATCGATTTGATATAAAATCTCAACTTATGGAGTTAGGCAGACATACATTATGGCGAAAATAAATGTAGAATAGTTTTTTTGGTATTAATTTAAATATGTTTACTTTATATTGATTGAGAAAAGACTTAAATTTGGGCTAATGAGGAAATGTAGCCGTACGCCTAATAAGGTTCGAATCCGTGATTCCTTGGTTAGAATTACATTACATTTAAGATGGAGTATATTTCTTCATTATATTGGTATTATGTAACATTATAAGAAGCACAAAACATTTCAGGTGCCTTTAAATAAAGACGGAATTTATTACAAAACAGTACGGTCTCATGAATACAAGACGGAGAAAAGTGGACAGAGCGACAAAGAAACTGCTACAAATTTGAGAAAAAAGCAAAGAAATCACAAACAAATGTATTCGTATAAGTTTGGACGTTTCAAGGCTCATTGATGTGAAGTAATGTGTTCGAAACTTAAAATTGCATTAGATAACTTTGAGCGAAGAGTTTGATGTCGTGACAACACAGGAATGACAAATTACCAAATATATATTGTCAACCGGTGGAAAAATTAGTTTGAATTCCTTATGTCACTTAAAAA